CAAATCGTGGTCCTTTATACGTTTGCGGGGGTCGTCAATATTGAGGGCTTGGTTTTCTTTTTCGTTGCTTTTTCATAGTAGGAGGTGTTTTCCGAGTGTGGGCAATAAACCAAACCCCTCAACCCATTTTTTCATAGTTTTTATGGGTGAACTACCCCAGGTGACAACGTGGGGAGGTCAGTGTCCACAATTGAGATGAAAGAGGGGCCAAGATAAGCCTGGATTTTGCCATGTTAAAGCCAATCAGAGCCATTGCTTGGTACGCCACCATGTAGGTCCCATATAAAAGTCCCGCCCTATCTTTGGTATTTTGCCATAAAAATCAGGTTTACTGTAATAAAAATCGCGCTGTCAATTCCAACCCACTGTGCAATAAATTAAGTTTAATTGTTATCTTTTAAGACACTAACTATGGTATATTATTGTTTGTTTTGTTGTAGCAACGTTTTGACCAGAATAAGTTCTCCTAAAGCAACAAATAAATTTTTTTTTCTCATTTTTCTTTTCCTAAATTTTTGTTGTTGTTGTTGTGGGAATAATTTAATCTGTTTGTTGTTATCAATCTTTCGTTATATTTGTTTGTTTGGCTGTTGTTTAAATTGTTTTGCAATTGTTTGTAATTTCATTGAGATTGTCAGTCTGTTTTGTTCATTCGTTTCCTTTGGGCCGTGGGTCCATGCCGGTGCCGGTGTATGAAATGATTGTTATTTTGCCATTTTGTTTCCCTTTATTTTGTAGTTCCTTTCAACGAAAGCTTCTGGTTTTCAGAAAAGTTAAACTGCGGGAGGTTATTGACATTCCGTAAAACATTATGGTAAGCTGTGAGGGAGGGGCGTGGAGGATGAAAGCAATGGAAATACTTTAGCCACCACTGTAAACTGAGGCAGTAGTAGCATGTCATGATGTTGTTATTTTTGGTTTGTTTCCTTTGTTGTTGGGCCCATGCAAATCAAGGGCTTCCCTTTGATTTGCAGAAGAACGTTATTGACGTTTGTTTTTAGTACTTCTACTTCGCACTGGTTCTGCCCTGGTCTTTGGTCTATATTCATTATGTTTTGTGGAGATTGCAGAGCAATGCATGTCTTAAATTACACTGCAAGTTAGTACAGACCATCATCCGACAGCTCCAGTACAAATGCGGGAAACTTGTTGCAATTCCATTTAAATTATTTGCATAGTTCTCTTCTATTGACCACAATTTGTTTCCATTGCCTAGTTGGAAATGACATACGAAAAGAAAACCACCAACTATGAAGGAGAGAAGTGAGATAATTGATGGCACAGTGTTAGAGGCACTATTAAAAAATTCTAATGCCTTAAGCATAATTTTTTCATCATAATTCATAAGTCTAAAGCCTATAAGGACATGTTTTTTATTACTACCGAACAAAGTTCTCCGGAGCTAAGGAAATATTTTTTTTCCGAAATTTTCTCAGTGATTAGAAAAACTCTATACGTAACCTCCTTCACCATTAGGTTAATTGTATATTAAATTTGTCATTCCGTTTGCAACACATCGACAAAACAAATCCCGCATACGGGGAGCAGAGCTAAATGCTAACGAACGCGTCCACAGGTTGCGGATTGTGGAAAGCCCAATATTATTCATTGGATAGCTGTGAATATAATTAAACAGTCGCGGGTTCTGGGGGAGAATCTCGAAGGAAATGACCGAGTGTCTATGATTCCAGGGCTGACAAGGCGTGAATGGCACCTCCACATATCAAATTCTCAGGTCTCCCCCTAACACTGGGGGATCAGGCGACCTCGCGCCCTTCAGTGTAAGCAGCCGGGGTTCCGACTGTATTCGAACGGAGCCTTGTTGATATCTAGGCGCATCAATTCCTTACCATGACTAAAACTTTTAGGGAGCCAACATTCAAACCCATCTTAAGAAAATTAAATTTTATAGAATCCGAATGCTGTCATGGCAACCTCAGAATCGAACTCTACAACATCAGATCGCAATCAATCTCCACAAACTATGACGATCAATGTCAATGTACAGGACCATTCTTTTGTTCCTTTAAACCCCATTACTTCCGACGATGTCAATGCCTGTAGTAGATGCATACGGACCTTCACCTCGGCCTTATTGAGGAAACCATCTGCTTCCGCCTTAGGTCAGGAGAGTAACCCGACTCAACTCTGGGATAAATCGCCATTGACCAACGAGGAAGATGCTATGGATGCCACTGAAACTTAGCCCTGCGATTATTGTGTTGGCTATCCTAGTAACTCTTTCAAATCAAGGTAATCAAGGCAATCCCTGGCGAGGATGAAGATTTCTACTTCATTTCTACAATATGCAGCTAAGCCTGGAGACTTCTGAGGCATCTGCTTTATATGCCTGCGGGTTGTATACCCGAATTGAGACCAAACTTCCCAGAAGGGGCAGAGGGATTAGGAAATGAGCGCGATGAGCTTCGTCGTACTAACCCTACTAACCTAAGAATCAGAGAACATCTGGAATGTTGCAACATTAGTACCGGAGTGAGTAAATTTTGGGCAACGGTTAAGACGCTTTCGGACCCAGGGGTGATCGGACATCTGCCTCATTTAACGGCGTTAAGGTGACATATCCGAAGAGGTGCGCGAGTAGGCAGTTTGTAGAGTACTCTGAGAGTGACATGGCGAACTCTTCACGTGAAGGAGGAAGTTGCAAGTGCCATCAGAAGCGCAAAATTATCCATGGCGCTTGGTTCGGATAGAATCTCCATTTGAAGCAGATTGATGAGCCAAGAGTACCTAACTAAAGTCCTTAACTTGTCGTTAGCCACCCTTATAGTTCCCGAGGTCTGGGAAATGGGCGGGGTGATCTCGCTTCTCCATTCGTGAATGCTACTCAATTGCTGATCATCAACATGGATTCCGTAAGCAGCACAGCACAACAACAGCTTTGCACACGGAAGGGCTCAACCAGAACAGGCCGTGTAATAGGACAGTTATGGTGGCGCTGGATCTGTCAAAGGCATTTGATACCGTCAGTCGCGCTAACCTGTTCGAGGACATCGAAAGAACGAGTTTAAAACATTGTATCATAAATTATATGTGTGGACGACAGTTGCACGTGAAATTCAGAAATAGGAAGTCGAAAGCCCTTTAAACAGGGAGTTCCACAATGGGGGGTGATATCTACGGAACTGTTTAATATCTACCTTTCAGAAATTCCACGTCCACCGGATGACATAAAGGTCGTAACGTCCGCGGATGATTGTACGATCATGGCGTCAGGACTCAAAATTGATGACATTTGCAAGAGGCTGAACAACTACATCGTGGATATTGCTGATTTTTGCCGAGCGAGGAATATGGAACCACAATGTTTACCACATGGTCTGTGGAGATGCGGCTACCTTTGAATGTTCACAATCCCGACCATCAATTACCCCAAGGTTCTAGGGTTCTCAATCGACGGACTATATAAGTGGTGCCACAGCTTTTTTCGATAAGTTCAAGCCGCTAACACTTGGAGAGCTGATAAAGAAACTTTGTTAACAACATACTCAGCAGTAGGCCGGTCAGTGGTAATCTATGCGGCTCCAGTGTGGTCCGCTAAACGTTAGGGCAACGTAATAGAAAAGTCTTCAATCCTGCCATAATGCTGCCCTGATGACTGCAACAGGGTGTCTACTCATGACTCCAATAGACCACTTACATGCGTAAACACAACAAGATATCGATGCAAAACTGTTTTGGGTGTTATAGAAGTAGCCATCCAAATCACCTACTTATGATAGGGCACCCAGCACCTAGGTATGTCGGTAAGAATCATCTTCATGATCTGGAGAGAGAGAGAGATTCAATGGTACAAAAGAGAGCCTCTAGATATAGGATTGACTCGTATTCACACGGGTGCAGATGAGGAATCAATTCGACAATTTCGTGTAATATAAGCAGACGAGCAGCTTACAGACTGGTCTTGCCAAAACTGAGATCTGAATGGTGTAGCCGCCTCAATTCATATTGGGCACAAATTGACAACATCATCACATTAGACACAACCGATACAGGAGTAGAAGACTGTGAGTAGTCTGAGCACAACCAGGACGATGATGGCTGGGACTTCTGATCACTCAAAACCCTCCAAGGGATCCCTGAGTGTTGAGAAGTCCTTGGCGGTATTTAAAGGTCTTAGTCGGATTTTCTCAGGCTCAGGATGATGAATCATCAGCAAAAGAAACCCAAACCCGTCAATGCCAATGAGATCTCTGACAAGAAGATTTACGGGAGAGACGTTATCTTCTGCAACCGGTTTATCGGACGGGACTCAAATTCTGATAAGGTATTCCTTCTTATTAAGAGCAATTTCACTCCAAACTATCCGAATGACATTGCAAGTGACTTCTTCATTGAAATAGTTTCGACGTCACGTTTAAAGTCAACCACAGTAGCCTCTCCAAAGGCTGAGACTTCTGATCACTCAGCACCCTCCAAGGGATACCTGAGTATTGAGAAGACCCTGGTGGGTCTTCTTATTCGGATTTGCTTTGCTTTGATGTTGCTGAAATTTGTTCTATACAATAAGTCTTTAAGTCCACGATTTTTGTCTGTTAAACTTCTAAGGACCTGAAAACAATTTTTGCCCATATGAAAAGAAATTCTCAGTTTCTCATAATTTTTTTCGATTGAAAATATTAGAGTGATATTATAAATTTTCCTCTTTTGAGCCACTATGCAGTACATAAGGTATTCGATACCTAACTCTAATGCATTTTTGTGCAACTTTCTCTGCAATACTAAAAATAATTAGAAGCAAATTTATAATAAACATGAACGGCAAAAGAGACAAACAAATAATCAACATAACATAGATAGGTGGATAGATGGATATGTCACATGCAGTGCATGCAATGGGTGGCAGGCAGTAGTTATCCGCTATGTGGCTGCAACATGGCTTCAGTTGAGTTTTTCAAATCCAAGTGCAATGTTGTTGCACAAAACGCCAATCGGATAATTTATAATTTTTTTTCGAAAAATCAACCTGACTTCCGATAAAAATGTCTTCAAAATCCTCTTGGCTGAGACCATCAAGAGCCTATCAACGTCAAATGGGTGCAAGTGACCAATTGCCATTTCTGGCAAGGTCACGATTTAGTGCTTTGCCACATTTCCGCCCCAACAAAGGTCATGAGGGCGATGAAAATCTCTCGCTCTTCATAGCCATACTCTATGTGGTGGATATGTTTGGAGTATTCCCATTTGTCACCCTGCCAGCATTGTTGGTGGAATTGGGATTTTTCGGGATACCATTGGTCATATCAGTGGTGGTATTACAAATTTATACCTCGTTTTTGTTAAGTGAATGTTGGACCATGGCCGAGGGTTTGGATTCATCGATTGTGCACAAAAGCAGGTGAGAGAACAAAATTGAAATTAGAATCGAATAAAAACTAATTCAGGATTTAAGGTACCCCTATGCTGCCATTGCCAATTTGGCCTATGGACGTTATTGTGGATTTTTTGTCACGATTCTCTTGGACTTGAGTATTTTTGCTGCCGGTATTCCGAATATTGTCATGGCTGCCCAGAATTTGGAATTGGTGGGTGATCGCATAACCGATGGTGAATTTCGTTTTTCATTTTGTTATTGGACGATAATTGTGGGTGTTTTCATCAGTCCATTGGTTTGGTTGGGTAGCCCAAAGCATATGAGGTACATTATTTTGTTTTTCACTTTATGCATTTTTTTGGATAATCAATTATTTTTCTTTCATATTTCTTTAATACAGGGGCTTGGCCATCTTATCTGTCTGTGTTATGATTGTTATTGTCACGCTTATGTGGTTCTGCCTGTTCTCGGCCTCACCAATTGGTAAACCCTTTGAAGGTGTTAGTTTGGGTATGTAATATTCAAATCGAAGTGTTCTTGACATTTAAATCCGAACATGGAGTATTTTCTTACAGAATTACCACCTTTCTTAACCATTCTAAGTGGTTACAGTATTTTGGCATTCCAGTTCGATATCCATCCGATGCTGTTGACTCTGCAGATTGATATGCAACAGAAAAATCAAGTCGCCTGGGCTGCATTCAGTGGAATATCTAGTGAGTGAAAAAGAAACGAATATAGAATGATCCGATCTAATTTTAAATTTTAAGAGAGGTCAAAATGATAACTCCTTAGTCAGATGTTGGCACAGGAAGTATATTCTACAGAGGTCTGAATTGAGGTTTTCTAGGGAGTGAAATAAAAGTTAGGGTCCTGGTCTGCAAAATAAATTTCTAGTGGAATAAAGCCATGGGATGGATGTTCATTGAGTGATTATAGTTCCAAGGACACTGAGTATTTTAATACCACATCGGGATTATATCTTTCGAATTCGGAATATGTTCGAATTCGGAATAATTGTCGTATAAATTCATAGATGAAATTTACGTCAGGATATGAAAAACATTTTGCAAAAAAAAAAAAAAAAAATGGTGATAAGGACATTCTATAAAAAAATTCTTCTTAATCGAGCAAAAACGTGTCACTCAGGGGCTAAGGGCAATTTGTTCTTTAGAAATAAGTTCTTTGGAAATCAGGGCAAAATTTGTTCTGTAGAGAAAACTCCTCAGGTGATATGAAATTTGTTTTCTATATCAAAGAGTCCTCAGAAAATAAGGACATTTTTTCTATAGAAGTAGTGAAAACGTCGTTAAGTTCGGGAGGACCGATCTGTTTATATCCCAACCACGTGGTTGGGGATTATATTATGGTGTTATATGATAGTTGGTTGTTCATACTCCGAAAAAATAGTGTTCCAAGTTACAGATAATCCGATATGTCAAATTATAATCATACCCATGAGAAAATTCGGTTAAAAAATTCTTAATATCCAAAAAGAAGCGGAACTTTTATGTGGCAAAACTTGTATATACGGCTTCCAGAACCATTTATATCCATCGATTGGAAAATGGGGTTAAAGTCTTCAAAATAGCAAAAAGTTGTGGGATGGTACCGTTCTAGCGGAGCGACACCAAATCCTTAAATGACATTGATAGCGAATAATGGGGGCTACCCGAAGACGTGGTCCAATGTTGATAATTTTTGGTAGGGACGTTATCTACTCAATGAGAATTCAAAATAATAAATTGCTTCCAAATTTGTTGAAACACGTGCTCCAGGTCCCCAAATTACCTATCTTAGGGGCGTAGCGTTATATGGGAGCTTCCCTAGAAGGTGGTTATAATAATAGAAGGTAACAGCAAGTGCTGTTGTACAACAAACGATAGAACAACCACATGGAAATTTGTTGTTGTAATTTATAAGTTATAAGCCGACCTTAAAAAAGATTACCAGGCGCGTCGGTCTTGATCGCATCTCCTCCAATTTTAAAGACCATGTTCCGAGATGTTGTATTATACTTGTTTTTTTCCCTTCTGCTTGAACCATCAGTAGGCTCGCTTTTATATGCCTTTTGAGCTGGGGCATTCGCATTCATTCGCTCAACATGGCCTAGCCACCGCAGTCGCTGCAGCTCAATACGACTGAATATGTCGATGTCTGCGTATAGATTGTAAAGCTCGTGGTTCATTCGAAGATTTTTTCTCTCAAACACCCCAAGAGCTGCCTCATCTGTTTGCGCAAATACCCATGCTTCAGATCCATATAACAGCACTGGTAATATCAGCGTCTTGTAAAGTGTGAGTTTGGTCTGGCGGGAGGTGACCTTGTTTCTAAACTTCTTACTTAGACCATAGTAGCATCTGTTGGCCAATACTATCCTTCTTCGAATATCAAAACTGATGTCATTACTTTTATGACATCAGTTCTTTAACAAAATCTTTAACTACCTCGGAGCTGTACTTGTCAAGTTCCACAGTTTGTCCGAGTCTACTGGACGTCTTGCGCGTTGATACCATCAGCTTGGTCTTCTCGCCATTTACTGCCGGACCCACTTTGGCAGATTTTTTCTCAATTTGTTCAAAGGTGGCAGTTACCGCTCGCAATGTTCGACGCATTATATCGATGTCATCGGCGTAGGCGAGTAACATATGCTGTTTGGTGTACAGAGTGCCATTTCTGTTCACCTTTGCGTCTCTTAAGTGGCCCGTAAACGGTCATTTTGTGGTGTTAGTGAAATTTGTTTGTATGTGTCACACCTACGATGCATGAAGCAAAATCAACAATTTTTGATTTTTCGCATGCATAACGTTCGATTTTGACTTGTGTGCGGTGGAGGCATCATGCATATTCTCATTTGTGACGTTTTTTCAAAGGGTTTTTCAAAGTTGTTAGAAGTATGCCAGTCGTTCTCAGCCCTTTTTTCAGCATTTTCTCTATTTTGTAAGCACAAGGACAAAATCGAAAAAATTGTTTCGTCCGTTGTCGACATTGTCTGTACAGCACGAAATCAAATGCAAAATGAATGCATGAACCGTGTGCGCTGAAGCTGCATGCACACGTATACGATTTTGATGTCATGCATGCATGATCGTCTACGGCCCACTTTATAACCTTTTCCAGCAGGATGACAAACTGTCACCTTGTCTGAATTCTCGTTCGGTACTGAAGGGCTCCGATAGGGTCTTTGCGATTTTAACTGCTAACCTTGTTCCACTTACAGTTATCCTGCATAGCCGTATTAATTTTGCATGAATGCCAAATGCAGACATGGCTTTAAACAACTCCGAACGGATAGGAAGGTCAAATGAGGTTTTATAGTCGACAAATATGTGGAATATGTCGATGTGTTTTTCGTGGGTCTTTTCCAGGATTTGACGCAGAGTGAAAATCTGGTCATTGGTGGATTTGCCAGGTCTGAAGCCGCATTGGAATGGTCCGATAATGTCATTGGCCATTGGCTTCAGTCTAATTACCTAGGACAGGACAATGTTAATGAATAGGTGTGTAGATTTAGGTTTAGAAGGTCTCTTTTACGGTATTTTTTATAAATATATTTCTAATGCCTTAGTAATTCTTTACTGGCGGTAATATTCATAAAGAGGCCGTATTTATCTCTACTGTGGGTCCTTTAAAGAGCGAATAATATATTGGAGATTTTCTCATGGTTTTCTACATATAAAAGGTATACAGTAATATTTGCAATCTATAATAAAGGATGGTTCTTCTGTAAACTGAATCCTCAAGCAGTTTTTTAATAATCAGAAGGTATTCTCAAGAATTGAAGGATATTGGGATTGATATTTTATTATATGTACGATATCGGATCGTACAATTTTGTCATTGTGAAATTAAAATACTACATCTCTATATTTAGTCACCTGTTCCATGGCGATAATTGGATCTGTCATTGCTGCGTACAAATTTGGAACCATGATTGCGGAAAATCTCCTGGAAACATTGCCGAGCAGTGTGCCACTATATATTCTACTTGTGCTGATGGCTTTGCAGTTGTGTTTTTCCACAACGGCCGCCAGTGCGGCTTTGTTTTTGCAATTGGAGAATTTTTTCAAAATCTCAGAAAGTGAGTCTACTAATATCCCTTTATCAAAAGAAAATAATATTAACGTGTTCTCCTTTCCTTGCAGATTTCTCTTTGAAACGCGTGGCGATACGCACCTCTGTTGTGGCATTGCAAGTAATTATTTCTGAATTTTTACCCAGTTTTGATGCTCTAATGGATATTGTGGGTGGTACCATAACGGGACCATTGGTCTTTATTCTACCACCGTTGCTCTACAGACGTATGGTTCAATTGGAACGTTGTCATCAACGGATAGCCACAGAAGCTGCATATGGTAGCCTACCGTTAGATTTAAATTATGAACCTATGGATGGTCCACCACCACATTTTGATCGTAGTGCACGCCGAACCTGGGCGGCAATGTTGGAGATTTGTTGGTTGCGAACCGTGTACACATTTAATCGTTTGCAGTGTGACTTATCGTTGTCGATGGCAGTGTTGATTTTCGGTATATTGGCGACATTCTTTTCAACCTACTTGAATTTATTCGAATTGAATCAGTTGTTTACAAATAATTCTCCATGTTTTGGGAATATTACGAAAAGGCATTAATTGGAATTTTGAAAAATTATTTATTACGAATTGAGATTGAAAGGGGTATAATATAATAAATGTAATATAATTTTTATACCGAATTCATTATAAATTTATCTATATTTTAAGATCAATACACAAGGGAGATTATGTGCAAGGGTCTTCAGTAGAATTTTTCAAAAGGTAAAGGAAAGTAGATGACGGAAAATAGCGCCACCCAAAGAAAAAGGGTAAAACTACACAAGCAAGGACAGCAATCAATGTACAAAAGTCAAAGCGGCGTTGTTTCTAGGCTACGATAGATGGCAGCCCCATTACTTAGGACAAACTATAGGATATCAATCATCTATTTAACTGGAATACAAGTAATGATAACGAAACTGTTTTGTGGAAACCCTATGCCCTCAAGAGGAGTATTATGTGAACAAAATGAAGAGACTTATATCTCAGAAATATTTTTCAAAAATTTCTTCTATCTATAGAGTTCACAAGAAGGCATCGCCAAGCTCACTACAAGAAAGAAGCAGTTATCTGGTGCATAAATTGAAAATTGGCCACAATGAACCGAAGAAAACTAAATTTAACAGCAAGTCAATGTTCAGAAGTATAAACCTGACAGTCCCTTCTCTGGCACGAGGTCACCAGTTAAAGTCGGAAAGGACCTATCGGAGCCCTTTAATACTGAACGAGGATTCAGACAAGGTGACAGGTTGTCATGTGATCTTTTTTTATCATCCTTTTAGAAAAGGTCATACGAGACGCAAAGGTGAACAGAAATGGAACTCTGTATACCAAAAAACACATGTTATTCACCTACACCGACGACATCGATATAATGGGTCGAATAATGCGAGCGGTACCAGACACCTTTGAACAAATTGAGAAGGAGTCTGCCAAAGTGGGTCTGGCAGTAAATGGCGAGAAGACCAAGCTGATGGTATCAACGCGCAAGTTGTATGGATCTGAAGCATGGGATACTAGCTCATGCAGATGAGGCAGCTCTTAGAGTGTTCGAGAGAACAATTCTCCGAAAGATCTATGGGCCGATCTGCGTTGACGGTGAATATCGCCGTAGAATGAGCCATTAGTTGTACCATTTATTCTCTGACATCGGCATTGTCAGACGTTACGAGCAGCAGCGACTATGTTGGTTAGGTCATGTTGTGAGAATGGATGAGGATGCCCCAGCACATTCTTTTTATACCCTTCACCACTCTGTGGTACAGGGTATTATGTCTTTGTGTTTGGTTCCTTTTGAGAATATTCACAGAATCACATTCTGAGTCGATTTATGCATGTCCGTCCGTCCGTCTGTCGATGTTAAATTGTAAACAAAGTACAGGTCGCATTTATAATCCGAATTGGATGAAATTTGGCATAGTTCACTTGGCCCAAGGACGAAATTGGGAAAAATCGGTTCATCGGTTCCCATATATATTTTCGTCCGATTTAATGTAAACGGTCCCTATATATCTTTCGATTTGCACGAAATTTGGTACAGGGTAATGAATTAGGTCCAGAATGATGTGTGTTAAGTTTCCTGAAAATCGGTTCAGATTTGGATATAGCTCCCATATATATTTTCGTCCGATTTAAGGTAAATGGTGTACCAAACTCCCTATATATCTTTCGATTTGCATGAACTTTGGCACAGCGTACTGAATTAAATCTAGAACGATCTGTGTTAAATTTCGTGAAAATCGGTTCAGATTTAGATATAGCTCCCATATATATTTTCGTCCGATTTAATGTAAATAGTGCACCAAAGTCCCTATATATCCTTCGAATTCCACGAAATTTTGCATAGCATTCTGAATTAAGCCTAGAAAAATGTGTGTTACATTTCGTAAATATCGGTTCAGATTTAGATATAGCTCCCATATATATTTTAGTCCGATTTTAGGTAAATAGTGCACCAAAGTTCTTATATGTCCTTCGATGTGCACTAAATTTGGCATAGCGTACTGAATTAAGACTAGAAAGATGTCAGTTAAATTTCGTGAAAATCGGTGCAGATTTAGATATAGATCCCATGTATATTTTCGTCCGATGTTATGTAAATGGTGCACTAAAGTCCCTATATGTCCTTCCATTTGCACGAAATTTGGATTTATAAGTAAATGAAGAACTCAAAATGTGACCGAATGCAAAAACGTACTGAAATTAGTGTAACCTAACATG